GAACGGGCGGCCGCCCACCGCGGCAGAAGCGAACGGCCGGCCGAGGCCGCGGCAAACGCCCAAGATCCACACTGTGGCCTCTGCTGAAAGAAGGCCTGCGCTGCACAGAGCTCTTCTCAGCAGGGGCACCCGGGTGCCTCTGCAGAGAGGGCGCGGGTCTGCCTCCGGGATCGTCGGCTGGGCTTGCTGAGACGACGCCCCCCAAATGGAGTTTGTCTCATCAGATCCAGACGACGATCCCAGGGTCAGACCCACTTCCTCTCAGCAGGGGCACCCGGGTGCCCCTGCTGAGAAGACCCCTGCAGCGCAGGCCTCATCTCAGCACAGGCCGCCTTGTAGATCTTAGGCGTTCGCCGCACCACGTCTGCTGAGGACGCGTAGGACGTGGCGAACGCCTAAGACCCAAGGGGCAGGAAACGCGATCGGAAGCGAAACGCTTTTGGTGTTGGCTGTATCTTCTGCTGAGATACCGATGCCGATCATGGCCCGGTGCCGGTACCGATACCGGCATCGGTACCGGCACCGGCATCGATATCGATACCGGTACCGTCAGGCGCAGCGCTTTTCTGAGCACCAACATCAACACAATCCTTGCGGGAATATGGAGGAAAAGGGGGGAGCGGGGAGGGAACATGAGGACGAGGAGGAGAGCCTGCAAGGAGGAGCAAGAGGGGTTGGGGGGGATATGGAGGAGGCAGCAGCAGGAGGACCAGGACAAGGAGGAAGACGAGGCGGAGAAGCTACACCGACAAACCGATTTATAGCCTCAGTCCAGCATCCCCGACAACGATTTTAAGGCAGGATGGCTCCACATATTGCTGATTTGCCTGCGCCCTTGTCGCCATCACTGTCGTCGTCATTGCTGACATCGTCCTCATTGCCATACTTCTTGCCCTCTCCCCCTCCCACGCATCCCTCCTGCTCTTTCTCCTCCCACTCCTTCTCCTCCCCCGACTCATTCCATTCCTCATTATCCTCGTCGTTATCATTCCCCCTTCTCTTCTTCTCCTCATTCTCGTCATCGTGCTCCTGCTGCTCTTCCCCTGGTTCTTCTCGCCCCTCGTACTCCTGGTTCTCCTCTTCACCCTCCAAGTTCCCCTCTCGCTGAAGATGTCAACATGTACTAACTAAGGCATGGCGCCCCCCCGCCTGAGACTTCCTTCCACATGACTCAGAAATCATGCTCTCGCCTCGGCGCCGGCTAACTGTTCCCTCGGGGCAGGGGCGCCTGGGCCCCTCCTGGGGCACAATTCGGCATCAGCAGGGTACTGTAACAGGTAGCTTGTGCCTGGCCCCGTCTGACTCCTCCCCCCCAACCCTGGGAGCCCAGTTGTGAGGATGTCCCAGGCAAACTGACCGGACTACCTCGCGCGCTGAATCTCGGAGCGAGCCCAGACTTGCGAGGAGGTCTGAAGCGAAATTGGCCCGACCCCAGAGTTCCGAGGATGGATCAGGCGAATCTGGCCCGAGAACCTCGAGCGCATCATCTCTGAACCCGGAGTTGCAGGGACGCATCAAGCGAAATTGGCCAAACGACCTCAGGCGCGGCATGTCTGAGCCCAGAGTTGCGAAGACGTCTCAGACGAAATTGGCCAGGCCACCTCAAGTCAGGAGCATCTCGAAGCCCAGAGTTGCGAGGATGTCTCAGGCGAACCGGACAGGACAACCTCGCGCGTCGCAACTTCGAGCCTAGAGTTGTGAGGATGTCTCGGGCGATACGGGCCAGATCACCTCAGGCCACAACAATTCAATTCTGATACCAGAGTTGCGAGGATGTCTCAGGCGAAATCGGCCAGACCACCTCGCGCGCGGCATCTCTGAACCTGGAGTTGCGAGGATGTATCAGGCGGATCGGGCTGGACCAGCTTAGGTCAGAGTAAATCTGAGCCCGCGCGCGACATCTTGCAGCCCAGAGACGTCGCATGCAAAATCCGCCGGACCACTTCGCACGCGGTCTCTCGGAGCCAAGAGTTGCGAGGACGTGTGAGGCGAGTTTGGCTGGACCACCTCGCGCCTGGCAAGTCGGATCCCAGAATTGCGGGCATGCCCCGGGCGACCTGGGCCGGACCAGTTCAGGTCAGGGCATATCTAGGCCAAGAGTTGCGAGGATGCCCAGGGCGAATCAGACCAACTCAGGTCAGAGCATTTCCGATCCCAGAGGTGCAAGGATGCCTCTGGCGAAAATGGGCCAGACCACCTCGCGAAAGGTATATCTGAGCCAAGAGTTGTGAGGATGTCTCAAGCGAAATGGGTCGGACCACATCAAGCCAGGAAATATATGAGCCCAGAGTTGCGAGGATCCTCAGGCGAGCCGGGCCGCACCTCTTCACGCGCGGCATCTAGGAGCCCAGACTTGCGAAGATGTCTCAGGCTAAATTGACCAGACCACCTCGCGCGCGGCATCTCGCAGAGTTGGGAGGACATCTCAGGCGAGTATGTCTGAAGTAGAATTGTCCAGATCACCTCGCGCGCGGCATGTCTGAGCCTAGAGTCGTGAGGATGAGTAAGGCGAAGCGGGCTGGACCTACTCAGGTTAGGGGCATATCTGAGCCCAGAATTGCGAAGATGGCGAAACGGACCGGACCACTTCGCGCGTGGCATCTTGGATTCCAGAGTTGCGAGGATGTATCAGGCGAAATGGGCCAGGCCATCTTGCCCCCGGCAACTCGGAGCCCAGAGTTGCGACGATCTCTCAACGCAGTGTAATGCAGTGCCATGGGAAGTGACGCAACAGAAATGCAATGCCATGCGTTGTAATGCAATGCCATGCAATGCAACGCAAAGGCCCTCCATGCCATGGGAACAGACAGTGGCTTCCACTGCGTGAGATGCGGGATAGAGATAGAGAGGGAAAGGAGGAGCACAGAGGAGGAGGTGTAGTTGTTTTTTCCAGAGCTCCCCATGCAGCTTGGCATGAACCACTGTGCAACACCAGTAGCAGGAGGCAGGGCTGGCAACAGGATCAAGCAAACGAAGCGCCTTTAGCATGCCAGAAGCTCACTTAGCAGGAAGAGGACGCTTTCGGCGACGGCGGCGGCGACGACGACCGACGACGACGGCCGCCGAAGGCCGCCGAGGCAGAGGAGGAGGAGGAGGAGGAGTCGGAGGAGGAGGAGGAGGAGAAGGAGGAGGAGGAGAAGGAGGAGGAGGAGGAGGAGGAGGAGGAGAGGGAGGAGGAGGTGACAAGGAAGAGTGGGAGGAGGAGGAGGAGGAGGAGGAGGAGGAGGAGGAGGAGGAGAAGGAGGGAGTGGTAGGACGTGACAAGAGGAAGGATGGGGAGGAGGACAGGAGGAGGAAGTGGAGGAGGAGGAGGAGGACGAGGAGGATGACGAGAAGAAAAACAGGACCAGCAGCAGGAGGCGGAGCTGGCAACAGGATCAAGCACATCGGGAGCCCACTTAGCAGAACAGAAGCCCACTTAGCAGGAACACGACTTGACGCTCCAAGACGGCCCAAGAAGTCCCCCCGACCGCTCCAAGACGGCCGAAGAGGACCCCAAGAGAGCCCCAAGACGGGCCAGGAGGGCCCCAAGACGGTCCCAAGACGCCCCAGGACGGCCCTAGGACGGCCCAGGAGGCGCCCCAGACGGCCCAAGAGGCACCCAAGACGGCCCCAGGAGCGGCCCAAGACGGCCCAAGACAGCCCAAAAGGCGCCGAGGCGGGCCTCAGACGGCCCCAAGACGGCCCAAGAGGCACCCACGACGGCCCGAGAGGGCCCTAAGAGCCCCCGGGAGGCCCAAAAGAAGGCCGAAGAGGCTCCGAAACGGCCCCCACGAAGCCTTCAGTGGCTTCAGAATTCCCTCCAGGAGCGGGGGAGCGGACGAGAGGCGACAGGCATATCGCAGGCAAAAACGCCCCAAGAGATCCCCAAACGGCCCCCACGAAGCCCTACGTGGCCTCAGAATTGCTTCCAGGAGGGGGGCGCCCAGGCAGGCTCCAGGACATGTCGAGAGGGCGCCCAGAAGCCCCCAAGACGGCCCCGGAGAGCCCCGGCACGCTTAAAGACGGGCCCAAGACGCCCGAGAGTCGCCCCAGACGGCCCAAGAGGCGTCCAAGAGGCCCGAAGAGGCCTCCCAAGAGGCCTCCCAAGAGGGCCCCGAGCGACAGAAATAGTTGATTTCTATTGTGTTTTTCTATGTTTTCGGCCTCCTCGCCTCTTCGGCTTCCCGACGCTCCAAGACGGCCCAAGAAGTCCCCCCGACCGCTCCAAGACGGCCGAAGAGGACCCCAAGAGAGCCCCAAGACGGGCCAGGAGGGCCCCAAGACGGTCCCAAGACGCCCCAGGACGGCCCCAGGACGGCCCAGGAGGCGCCCCAGACGGCCCAAGAGGCACCCAAGACGGCCCCAGGAGCGGCCCAAGACGGCCCAAGACAGCCCAAGAGGCGCCGAGGCGGGCCTCAGACGGCCCCAAGACGGCCCAAGAGGCACCCAAGACGGCCCGAGAGGGCCCTAAGAGCCCCCCCGGGAGGCCCAAAAGAAGGCCGAAGAGGCTCCGAAACGGCCCCCACGAAGCCTTCAGTGGCTTCAGAATTCCCTCCAGGAGCGGGGGAGCGGACGAGAGGCGACAGGCATATCGCAAGCAAAAACGCCCCAAGAGATCCCCAAACGGCCCCCACGCAGCCCTACGTGGCCTCAGAATTGCTTCCAGGAGGGGGGGGGGGCGGACGAGAGGCGACCGGCATATCGAAGGCACAAAAGAACAATGCTGGACGCTCCGAGGACCTTCGATGTTTCTCTGTTGGGGAGAGTCGTCGTAGGATCGACGATTGCCGACCGAGGGCATGGAGAATCCAGCGAAAGAGGAGAAGAAGGTGGAGGAGGAGGAGGAGGAGGAGGAGGCGGAGGAGGAGGAGGAGGAGGGGGAGGAAGCAGCAGGACCTCCGAGCAGCAGCAGCAGCTGAGGAACACAGGAGAGCAGGAGGTCCTGGAGGGTGTGGAGAGCGCCTTCAACTGGCCACGTCGAGCTGATGTCGTGGACGGAGTCTACAGGTCTGCACTAGTCAGCTACAACGCTGGCATGAGTGCGTGCGAGAAGGGTGGGCACTGGCAGCAGGCGCTGTGTCTGTTCGGAGAGCTGCGGAGAGAGAAGCTGGAGCCCGACGTCATCAGCTACAGCAGTGCGGCCAGCTCCTGTGCGACGGGCGGGCAGTGGCAGCAAGCCGTGTCGTTGCTCCGCGACATGCTGGAGGCGAGGTTCGAGCCAGACGTCATCTTTTCTACGATGCCAGAACAAGCGCGTGCGAGCGAGTCGTACTGCGGCGGGGCCCGACCACCCCTGGTGACAGGTCCGAGAGACGCCCAGAGAGGCGTCAAGAGAGGACCGAGTTTCACACATTGTTTGAGGAGGGCCTCGTGCGGCCTTGGAGGTCCTCGAGGGAGCCTTGTGTAGGGCCCCGGAGTGCCCCAGGATGCTTCCGAGACGGCCTAAGAGGCCCCAGGGGCCCCAGACCCTAGACGCCAGACCCTCGAGGGCCCTCCTCCTCCACCTCCAATTCTCGTCTTCCAGCCTCCACCTGCTCAACACTCTGACCCCCAGCATCCAGCATTCGGCTTTCCACGTCCATCTACACCTATCGACCTCCAGCCTCCACCAACTGCACTCCGACTCCCAGCATCCAGCACACAGTCCACTCACAGGTTCAACAGGGTCCGAGTCCGGGGCCGCTGCCTGTATTTTCGGTCCGGGCCGCAGCTCTCGCGACACCCGCGCCGGCGGAAACCGTGACTTGGGCGCCGGGGGGTCCGAGCACAGGTAATGGAGGATGACGATCAATAAATGACCGGGGGTCGTGTTCACGCGGCGGCGCCCAAGATGACGATTAGAAAAAACCGGCCGCGGGCTGGAAAACCATTTTTTAATCGCTCTCCTCCAGTCAGGAGGTTGTGCAGAAACAGCAGGAAACTATTTGTTTAATCGTTCTCTCCCATTTCTGTTATTAACCGTCATCCCGCATTATGGAGATCTTCGTGGCCAGCGCGGCGGCCTGCGCCGACCCCGACCCCAGCCCCGACTCGAGCTCCGACTCCCTTGACAGCATACGGCCTTCAGCAGCCCCCCGGCATCTGACTTTCTACATCGACCTCCAATCCAGCCCTCCACCTGCTCACCAGTCCAACCCCTAGCGTCCAGCATTCGACTTTGCACCTCCGCCTCCACCTCCACCTTTCGTCTTCCTGCCTTCACCTGCTCAATACTCCGACCCTCAGCATCCAGCATTCGATGTTCCACTTCCACAAGGTTATGGGGGGGAACTCTCACGCGCCTAGAGACCCCAAGGGGTCGGCGGAGTCATCGACCTGCGGGGCTTGGCTTGGCATATTCTCTTGTTCTTTACTGGTCAAGCTTGTATGTATACAACGTCATAACATAGATACTTTGATTGTTTCCGTCATTGTTGGCCTTGGTTGGATCCGAATGGTCTCCGCTGCTTGTAGGCACATCGAAGGTTCAATGGAGTGCCCGCCCAGGCGGGTGCATTCGAACTCCGCCACCGATCGAAGCGTGTCGAGAGCGTCCCAGCGCATTCCTTGGAGAGTGCCGTGTCGCGAACAGGTTTGTCGTCTCTGTTTCGTTGCGCTATGATTCGTTTGGCCTGCCGGGCCATTCCAGCACCATCAGTGTTCTCTTAGAAGGTGAGCTGTGCCGTCTCGCGGACCTCGGGTCAGCCCTAGTCAGCTTCAATGCTGGGATCAGCGCCTGCGAGAAGGGCGGTCAGTGGCAGCAGGCTCTGTCGCTGCTCAGCGAGATGTGGGAGGTGACGCTGGAGCCCGACGTCATCCCTTCTACAATCCCGGAGTCAGTTCGTGTGGGAAAGGTCGGGAGCCTTGAGACGGGGGTCAGTGCAAACGGGGTCAGCCAGGGCGCCAGATCCTGCAGGATCCTGCGAAGACCCCTTCTGGCTGACCCGGGTTAGCGAGCCGCTTGTGGCCGCGAGGCGGCCGCACATACTGGCTGACCCGGGTTTGCGAAGACCTGCGTTGCAGTTTTTGGTTCCTGCATTGCAGTTTTTGGTTTCCTGCTGACCCGGGTCTGGATTGACCCGGGTCAGAAGATCCCCGAAAAGGCGAAGCGTGTCAGCCTGGCAAACGGGCTGGCGGGGCCAGACCACCCCTGGAGAGCGGCCCCGAGCGGCCCCCGAGCGCCGCAGAACGGCCCCAGAGGCGTCGTCAGAGGTCCTCAGCGGCCCCAGCACGGTCAGAAAGGCCCTGAGAAGATTGGCAGGATGCACCACAGGGCCCAAGAGAGGCCCTGGACACATTGCTTCAAGAGGGCTTCTCCACGACGGCCCAAGTCGGCCCCAAGACTGCCCGGGAGGCCCAAGAGGGCCCCAGGGAGCCCGACGATGGCCCAGGATAGGTTTAAGTTGGCTTTAGACGGCCCCAAGAGGTCGTCAGAATGACCCCAGAGGGACCTGAGCGAGACGTGGGAGGCGACACCTGATGCTGCGCGTGCGAGAACAGGGCACTGTGGGACTAGGACGTTCGGGCCAAAGCCTGTCGAGATCCCCCCCAGGACCAGTCCAAGAGGCTCGGCGAGATGGCCCCAGGAGGGGCTCAGAGAGCCCCGGAAGCATCCAGGGCAGCCCCAGAAACAACCCTGGGACGGCCCCGTGACGATCCAACAGGGTCTTCGGTGGAGACCCCCCAGGAAAGTGCAGGACAGCCCCCAGTAGCCAAAAAGCTCCGAGGCGCTCCAGGGCATCTTCAGGATGCCCCAAGGTGCCCCCAATACAGCCCACGAACACCCCAAGACGGCCTCACAATGTGTCCAGCCCCTAGACTCGAATGAAGCATATTTTTTCAGCAATGCTCTTAGCCTCCTCCCCTCTCCAGCCCAAGACGGCTCTAAAAATGATCGTGACATCTGCTGGGCGTGGGTTGCATCCATTCGACACCCTACGCATTCAGCTACGAAGCTGTCACCGTCGCGTGCGGTAGCAGCGCGCGTAGTATGCAGGTGTTGTTGTTGCTCAGCGACCTGAGGGGCTCGATTTGGTAGCCGAGCGGCGTCGTCTCCTCTAATTTGCCGGAAAAGTTGTATGCGAAGTCATCGCTTCAATGATTAGGTCGTTTCCGTCATGGTTGGCCCTGCTTGTGTCCGATCGGAGTCCGTTATTTGTCGACACGTCAGAGGTTCCATTGACTGCCCGCCCAGGCGGGCTCAGTCGGACTCCGCCGCCAGTCGGAACGTATTGAGAGCGTCCAGGCGCGCTACCTCCATATCGCCGTGTTGCGAACGGGTTTGTCGTCTCTGACGTTTTGTTGCGCTATGATTCGCTTTGTTTGCGGGGCCATTCCAGCACCATCAGTGTTCCCTTAGAATGTGAGTAGAATCCGTCTTCTGAGAACCATCCGTCTTCCGAGAACCCTTCCAGAAAGATGTCGTGGACGGAGTCCACGGGTCAGCGCTAGTCAGTTTCAACGCTGGGACCAGCGCCTGCAGGAACGGCGGGCAGTGGCAGCAGGCTCTGTCGCTGCTCAGCGGGATGTGGGAGGCGACGCTGGAGCCTGACGTCATCTCTTCTACAGTCCTGGAGTCAGCTTGTGTCTTGGCATCGCTCGGACGTGTGCATTTTTCCTTCGGCGAGGACCATCGAGGAGCATCCTTGATCACTTGGCGAAAAAGCCACGCACGAACCCCCAAAAAAACACAGGAAATGGACGTCCGAGCGATGGCGAGGTGTGGGAACGACGAGGCGTGCCAGCCTGGCAAGCGGGCTGGCGGGACCAGACCACCCCCCCGGGGACTCCCCGAGCGGCCCCCTGAGCGCCCCAGGACGGCCCCGGAGACGTCGTCAGTCGACGAGGCCGAAAGAGTTTAGCCAGTGCACCCCAGGTGGAGGAGGGGGAGGAGGAGGAGGAGGAGGAGGAGGAGGAGGAGGAGGAGGAGGAAAGAGATGCCCAGAGAGGCCCCAGACAACTTGCTTCAAGAAGGCTTCGCCTGGACCCAGAGTTCCCTGAGAAAGCCCTCGGATGGCCCTCAGAGTGCCTCAGGAAACTCCTCCTCCTCCTCCTCCTCCTCCTCCTCCTCCTCCTCTTCCAAGACTGCAGTTATGAGCCTCCACGACGGGCGAAGCCGGCCGGCCCCAAGAATGCCCAAGAGGTCCCCCAGAGGGCCTGGTGGCGGCCTGGGATCGGCTTAATATGGCTCAAGACGACCCCAAGAGGGCGTCAAAATGACCCCAGAGGGACCTGAGTCCGACCACATCCCTGTTCTGACACAGTGCGCGCGATTACCAGGCACTGTTTTACCAGGACCTTCGGGCCAGAGCCCGACAAGAGGCCATCAAGGACCGGTCCAAGAGGCTTGGCGAGATGGTCCCAGGAGGGACTCAGAGAGTCCCCGAAGCATTCAGGCCAGCCCCAACCATGAGACGGCCTCATGACGATCCAACAGGGTCCCTCGGTGGAGACCCACCAGGGAAGCGCAGGACAGCCCCAAGTAGCACAAGAGCTCCGAGGCGCTCCGGGGCATCTCCAGAGTGCGCCAAGGTGCCCCCGGTACAGCCCAGAAGAACCCTAAGACGGCCTCACAGGGTTTCATCCACTCCACGCCCTATTCACCTACGAAGCTGTCACCGGCGCGTGCGATACAAGCGAGCGTGGTCTGCAGGTTCTGTTTTTGCTCAGCGACCTGAGGGGCTCGATTTGGTAGCCGAGCGGCAGCCTCTCCTCATACTTTGCAGGGCAGCCCCAGCCCCGAGACGGTCCCGCGGCGATCCAACTTAGTCCCTCGGCGGAGACCCGCCAGGCAAGTGCCAGCCCCGAGGAGCCCAATAGCTGCAGGGTGCTCCAGGGCATCCGCTGCCTGTCGGCACGCCGAATGTCCGATCGACTGCCCAGGCGGGTCCACTCGCACTCCGCCGCCGGTGGGAGCGCGTCGAGGGCGTCCCGGCGCGCTCCCTCCACGTGCGTGTCGCGAGCAGGTCTGTCGTCTCTGATGTGTCGTTGCGCCATGATTCGCTCTGTCTGCCGTGCCGCAGCACTGTTGTCTGGAAGGTGAGCCGTGCCGCATGTGGGCTGCCGTCCTCACTTTGCATGCGAGTGCGATCTCGTGAACGGTAGTCCACGGGCCAGCCCTAGCCCAAGTCAGCTACAACGCTGCGATCGGCGCGTGCGAGCGAGGCAGCCAGTGGCAGCCGGCCCTGTCGCTGCTCGACGAGATGTGGCAGGCGAAGGCAGAGCCCGACCTCATGCATACGATATTGCTGGGGCCAGCGCGTACGAGGAGCACATCTTGCACGTCTTGCTCCCTCCCCGCCGGGAGGCCGGGGCCGGGGCCGCGCTGCAGATCTCGGCGCTCCGAGTACCTCCGGATCGCTCTCGGCGACGCTCCGAGAACCTCTGGACGGCCTCGGGCTCTGGGCCTGCACTTGCGAGCCCCCCACAACCCCTCGACGCCCTTCCAGACAAGCCCGCGATGTCCCGAGAGAGAGAGAGAGAGAGAGAGACGGCTTGACGGCTTACATGCCCCACAGATGTTCAAAACCAGCCAGGGCTGGCATTTGCGGAGCACGGCCGCGGAGCGGCGGGGCGCGCTCTCGAGACGGTCTCCATCCGGCCCCCCCTGGGCGCCCCACGGTGCCCCCGAGACGGCCTGAGGCTGCCTTGAGAGGGCCTCGAGACGGGGCCACAGCGCTCCAGGAAGGCCCACGGCGGCCTGGGAGACTCCTACTAGGCTTAAGTCGGGCCTGTCCCCCTACAGGGGGATTTCCAACGAAAAAATAAAAAATACCCCCAAAATAGTAAAAAGATAGTCCAAAAATAGTCTGGGGACTATTTTTGGGGTATTTGTTTTGCCTTTTTGGAGTGTTTTGGGGGTATTTTTTTTTTTTCATCGAACATCTCCCTGTAGGGGGACAGGCCCGACTTAATCCTAGGCGGCCCGAGAATGTTCCCCAAAAGGCGCCACGATGGCCCGAGAGGCCCCCGGAGAGCCCTAAGAAGAATGTCCCAAGAGGGCCTTCGGATCAGATGCCCCTACTTCGGCCCAAGCGAGCTCCTGCACGGCTCATATGGCCAGAAGCAGCATGAGTGGCATCAGCCACGAGCAGCAAGCAGCAGCGAGCGGCAGCAAGCATGAGCAGGCTGCAGAACAGTTGAGCATCTGATTCAGAAACCTCCTCCCGAAAAGCAGGGCCAGCGTTTCTTAACCCACTTGCCGAAAAGTTGGCTCCGTTTCTTGGGTACGTTCGCCCCTCTAGCGTGAACAACATAAGTTGACCCCTTGCCGAAAAATTGACCACTTTCCGAAAAGTTAAACTCACTTGCCGAACAGTTGGCTTGGTTTCTTGAGTACGTTCGCCCCTCCAGCGTGAACAACAGAAGTTGACCCAGGTTTGTTGACAACACCTTCTGTGGAGCCGGCCCAGGTTTATTAAACTATATGTTTCTGGACTCCATCTTCGGCTGTATAAGCAGACAGACAACATCTGTAAGCAGCAGCCGGTAGCATCGGCAGTCGTGACCATCTGGGAGCAGCCTGGCAGCAGAGGCGAAGAGCAACAGCACGCAACAGCACGCATTCGCACGACCAGCAGCACGCAAGAGGAAGCGGCAACATGCAAGCAGCATCGACCATTGCCGTATGTAAGCTAGCATCGGCGCCCAGTCGCAACAAGCAGCAGCACGAACCAGCTGTTAACAGGCAGCAGCATCAACGAGTAGCAAATCGCCAAGTCGCAGGAAGCAATACCAAGTATCAGTAAGCAGCAGCGAGCGAAGGAGCAGGCAATGCAAGGAAAAAACGTGGTAGGCAATACGTCAGGCAAACTGGCCACCACGCAAGCACGCAAGCGGGCAAGACATTTGTCAGGCCAGCCAGTTAGCAGCACGCATGTGGGATATCACGCAAGCAGTGAGGCAAGCGATTTTCATATTCTCATTCGAGGAAGCTTTCGTGGACGTGAGTCTACGTCGTAGCCGTAGTCACGTACACCGCTTGGATAAGCGCGTGTGGGAAGGCCGAGCAGTGGCAGCGGACTGCGGTGCTGCTCGGCAAGATGCGGGAGGTGAAGCTGGAGCCCGACGGCGGCGTTCGCAACATCGGCATCAGCGCTTGTGAGAGGGCCAGTTGTCTTGATCCTGGGTCCTGGATGCTCTCTGGTCCAAGCAGGGTTGCACTCCTGCGAGGCCGGGCCCAGGCGCCGGTGGCAGCATGACAAGTCTTGACGAGTTCTTCGGGGCTCCCCGCCGTTCATCCGAAGCGCTGCAGCCAGGGCGCGCGAGGAAGGCGACCAGCGGCAGCTGGTCTTGGTGCTGCTCAGCGAGATGTGGGGTCCGATGGCACAAGCCCTCGATTGGCAGCGTCGCGCCAGTGAATGTACGTCTCCGTCAGTTGCTGCGTGACTCTGGGGCCAGCGGTTGCCAGAAAGCGGCACGTCCTGCCGTGGGTGCCGGCTCCGTCCTGGCCCCAGCAGGCGGCCCCTCCCGAGAGGCGCAGTCTGAGGGTGACGGCAGCCCCACCACGACGTTGGGGCCAGCACTTGCGAGAAGGGCGAACACTGGCAACAGGCTCTCTGCTCAGCGATCCTGTCACCAGAGCGCCGAGCAACGAGATCAGTGGGGTGGTATCGGTGAACTCGGACATGAGCTCACGGGCCCGATCTGGAGGAAACGGAGCGAGGAGGCACGACAAAGACCGAGGAGGACCGAGAGGAGTGAGGACGAGGCGGATGTGCCTGAGGAGGAGGAGGAGGAGGAGGAGGAGGGGGAGGGAGAGGAGGGGGAGGAGGAGGCGAGCTCGAAGGGGTCGGATCATACAGTTCAGGGAAGTCTCCAACGGGAGCCCCGTTTTGAAGGGAGCCGCCCTTCCTCCGCGAAGCTGTTGCACGACTCGACGCTTCTGTCCAGCATTGTGGAGGAAGTCTGAGGCGAGGGCCCCACTCGGAGAACGAGCCGCCCTCCATGCTTGTAGCTGTTGCGCGTTTATGTGTGTGCTCTTCTGGTCAGATGATGTTTTCCTGGCCAGGGCTCGGTCCCAGGATATTGTTTTAGTCTGTAGATTGTTTCCGGTGCCATGCTCGCAGAGGGGCAGCTACTCTCCGCTCGATCGAAAGGCGAGGTAAGGTCCCATTTCCAATTGAAGAAGAGTGTGTGTGTGTGTGTGTGTGTGTGTGTGTGTGTGTCTGTGTGTGTGTGTGTGTTCGTGCGTGACCGCTCGAGAAAAGTGCATTGCCCATGTTGGATCCTCGATTAATAACAGTGCCCGCAGACCTCCATTTTCCATTGTACAAAAGAAGGTGAGGAGCTTTTTCGGCAGAGTCCTCGTGAGGGGTGCGTTGAAACTTGCTGTGAACATTTTAAGGAAATGTGAGACAAGTTGATCCTGTGCGTGCCCGCACGAGGATGGCGCGTCCTGCGCGCAGAATCTTCGAGGATGCCTCGAGCGACACGCCTGTTTTAAGAAACGCCTCAGGTCGCCCAGGCGGATGTCTAATGGGCGCGCTTGCTTTCGGGTGTCCAGGTCGCCCAGGCGGATGTCTCACGTGCGGATTCGTGAAGGATGTCTCCAGCGAAACGCTTGGCTTTACATGGGGCCCTTTTGATTGTGAGTGGAAGCCGCGTGTGTCTGTGTTGGTCCTCCCGTGAGCGCACACCGAGTGGCTTTGCACGGGCTCCTTTCGCCCGTGAGCTCGGACCATGCCCTCTTACAGCCGGGGCCCTGGAGAAGGAACCCTTTTCGTTGGGGAGGGGCTCGGTGTTCCTTGATTGTTCGACAGTTTGCCTTCTGTTTTCCTGAGGTGTTCCATGGGAAATCGAAGTTCAACTTATGGGAAGAAAGGGGCCCCGTTCCTTATTTAGGGTTCCTTTTAGGTCAACGCCCCGACTGTACATGGGCTCCTCCTTCGCCCGTGCGCCCAAGCCGTCTGTTTTTGCACGGCTGCTTTCGCCCCTGAGCCACAAAGACTTTGTTTTCCGGTGGGCTCCTTTTTTGCCCGTCAGCGCAAGCCATGTGTTTCGATCTGGATTCCTTTCCTTTCGCCAGTGAGCCAAGACCATATGTTTTTTCATGTGCTCCTTTCGACCGTGAGCCAAAATTCTTTCGGTTCGTCTTGGTGCAGTTCTTCGTATTTCGGTCCGCCGCGTTTCGGTCTGTCCATTCACCGGGCGTTTCGCATTGGTTCTGGTTCGCCCTCTCTTGGTTCGTCCCGTTTCGAAGCCAAATCGGAGTTTGAGCGCGAATTGGTCGAGCTCCCCGCGTGTTTCGACTGCAGCCAGCTCGAGCTATGCGTTCAGGCAGCTCGGACTCAAGATCTACTCAGTCCGGTCAGCATTTTGACGCCCAAAACGATTTGATCCACAACGAAAAAAAGCACAGCACAATTCACCGTGGCACGGCACATTTCAATTCAACACAGCTTGGCACAGCCCCTGGCACAGCGTTTCACCATCGTTACCTTCAGAATTGTAATTGCCCGTCGCCCAATTTTGGTACCTTGAATTTGTTCCATGCGTCGCATTTCTATTCCCTTTCCGGGTTCGTGGATAGGTCATGCTTACCAGATATCCAGTAAGAGTCCCATGTTGAAAGGGAATTGCCCTACATCCTTTCAGCGAGGACGCGCGGCGCTGACGCGAGAGCCACATGTTGAGCATCACGCGTCATAGCCACATGTTGTACATCACCCGCCTGGCACCCTTCTATCTTTTTGATGCTGTCAAGGCGAAGGCCACATTTTGGAAACGACCCGCCCTCCACTTGCGTACCTGTTGGAGTTGCCAAGTTCTTTGATAAGAAGCCATGAGGAAATCTCATGCCAAACGCCCACCCTGCCACACCGACGCGTCTGGTGGTGTGATGCGAAGGAGTTACCTTGAAGGGGTATGGATGTAGTATGAGGAGGATGGGTATGAGTATAAGGAGTGGGTGAGTGAGTGAGTGAGTGAGTGAGAGAGTGAGTAAGTCATTGAGTGAGAAGGGGGAGGATGAGTGAGTGAGGAGGGAGTGGTGTAGAAGGAGGAGTAGGAGCAGGAGGAGCAGGAGGAGGAGGAGGAGGAGGAGGAGGAGGAGAGGATGAGGATGAGAGGGGGAGCTCCTGTCTCCGCCTCCCTCCCCACCTCCCTCTCCCCTTTCCTCCCCACTTCCTTTCCCCCTTACCCTCCTCTTCTCCCTTGTCTCCACCTCGTCCCCTCTGCATTCCCCTCCGTCTTCCCCTCCTCGTCCTCTGCATTCACGCGCGCTCGCCAGAGAACGGCATCAAAGTAAGTCCCGCTGCCAGTTTCGTGCCCTTCGTCCTCGCCTTTCCCTCCCACACTCGTTCCCCTTTCCCCTCCCCCGCCAAGTCCCACAGGCCGAGTGACTGCAGCTCTGGGCGGAGCTGGTCGTGGGGCGGGGCGGCTGGGAGCTGAGGAGGAGGAGGAGGAGGAGGAGGAGGAGGAGGAGGAGGAGGACTGACCCCCTGGGGTTTTTGATCCTTGGGGTCTATCTGAGCTTGTTCGCTTGCACTGTCGACAGGTCAGCACCGGTGCCGCCTGCCTGCCCCCCCCCTCCGCTCTCGGGACCTCCTGGCGGCACCCGCCCGGGCCAGCCGGGCAGGTGGCGTCCATCGTGGAGCGCATCGACAGCAGCTGCACGGGGGAGCTCGACTTCGAGCAGTACCTCGAGATCGTGCGGACATGGGCCGCTGCAGCGTCCCCCTCCTGCCTCCTTCCGCTCCTGTCTCGCAGCCGCTGGCGCGTATCCCCAGCGCCCTCGCGCCCGCCACGCGTCCCCCGGGCGCGACGGCTACACGGAGACGGCCCCGTTCCGGAGGGGGTGGGGAGGACGGGTGGGCCTCCCGCTTTCATATTCCACCTGAGGCCTTCGAGGAAAGGAAGGGCGTTGGTTGAGCGAGGGGGTCATTCAGAAGGGTCGGATGTACAGACCGTAGACAGCGTATCTTTCTAGAAACGTTGTATATGGAGTGCCTTGTCTGAAACGCAGTAGACGTAGTGATAACGTCTGTTTCATCGGTGTTGTACCTGATGGCGGTTATGATGCCTACAGCGCTAGTGACATAGACGTGGTATCTGATGTAACGAGGTATTCGTAACTGTTGTCCGTCGCGCTGTAATGGTACGTGCTGTCATCTGTTCTGGCTTCAGGCAGGCCGGTCTCGCCTTCTTGTTTATGGCGCCACTTGGTTGGGTATTTCAACTGGTGGGCAACGTAGCCCTGCTTGTGTCTCTCGTAGCTCAACCTGTGGCCCTCTGAGATCTGCTTGTGGTGTCCTGCGGACGAAGTGGCGGGCGACGTTGTCCACCGAGCCGTCGGTCCAGCCGGCTTTCGATTTCTGGACGCTCAGTTCCAGCATCGTGCGCTCGTGGTACTCTGCCGTTCTTGCCCTCCACCGTATCTCCGATAGCGATCGGCTTTTTGGTAGTCCAGGTCTTCCGTGGGCCTTGGTGTTCGTTTCGTGGCCCTCGTAGTACAGCGGCTGGGCCCTGGTAGCTCAGCTGGTGGTCCCAGTAGCCCTGCGTGTGGCTCGCGTAGTTCAGCGCGTGGTGGTCGCATCTCAGCTGATGGCCCTGGCAGCTCGGCTGCCGGCTCTCGCAGAACAGCAGGTGACCCTGGTAGCAGTTCTTGTGGATCTCGTGTCTCTGCTTGCGGCCCTCGTAGCGCAGCATCAGCCGGCGGTTCTCGCAGCCCAGCTTGTGGTCCTCGTAGCCCTGCGCGTGGCATTTGTAGCGCAGCCAGTGGTCCTAGCTGTTCAGCTGGTAGCCCTCGCAGCTGAGGTGGAGGTTCTCGTAGGTCAGCCTGTGGCCCTGGTGGCTCCGCTGGTAGCTCTCGTAGCTCAGGTAGCTCAGGAGGTGGTCCTGGTAGCTCCTCGGGTGGCTCTCGCAGCTCCGCCGGTGCCCCCGGTAGCTGAGCTCGTGGTCCTCGCAGCTCGGCTTGTCGCTCTCGCAGCTCAGCCGGCGGCCCTCGTGGTACAGCTGGTGGTCGCTGCTGTCCTGCCTGTGGCCCTTGTACCAGCCACGCGCAGAAGGGGGGAGGGGGGAGGGGGGAGGGCTTCTCAGAAGCACCCCTGCTTCTCAGAAGGCGCGGGCCTCCTCTGTAGATGCACGGCTGGCGCCTTCTCAGAAGCAGCCTCCTCCTACGAAGCCCTCCCTCCTCCCCCTGCCCCCTTGTGCGCGCCGCCACTTGTAGATGCTCCTGCGGCCCTCGCTGCTCAGCTCGTGGCCCTCGCAGCCCTGCTCGTGGCCCTCGCGGTGGAGCTCCCGCGGTCGCTGCCGTCCTGCTCGTGGCCCCTGCAGGTGCTCCCTGCGGCCCTCGCTGCTCCCCTCGTGGCCCTCGCGGCGCCCTGCTCCTGGCCCTCGCAGCGGAGAGCTCCCGCGGCCCTCGTCGCAGCTCTGGAGGGGGGGGCCCCGCGGCTCTGCCCGCGGGGTCCTCGCAGCTCGGCGCTCGTGGTCCTCGGGGGGGTCCTGCTTGGTGGCCCCTGTCAGGGGGCCACAGGCGAGCCCTACCCCCCTGCCCCCCCCACGACTTCTGAGGGGGAGGGGTGGGGTTCACTTCGCTCGGGAGCTCCCCCGAGCGATGGGACCCCAACCCCTCCCCCTCAGAACTCGTGGGGGGCAGGGGGGTTGGGTTCGCCTGTGGGCCCCTTGCCCGTGCCCCCTCAGAACTCGTGGGGGGCAGGGGGGCAGGGTTCGCC